CTGCGAGCTTGCCAAGTGCCTAGCTACTTGATGCTGTTATTTCTTTACTTTCTTTTCTCTATTGCTTTGATTAGGATATGTTGTCATCCAAGTGAACTTGTAGCAATCTTCTTGACAAATGATTTACTCATGAACTTGTAGCAATCTGCTTGACAAATGATTTACTCATCAGGGAAGTAACTTGTCGTAGCAGGAGTGTGTGCCTAATCTTGTTATTAGTATTAGTTGCATAGGATTAGGTCATGTGATTGGGTTCATGTTAATTTGCACAATGCACCATCAGATTGCACATTTTCAAGCATATTGGTTGGGTTCCTGAACAGTCTTGTGGCAAGCAATGAAGTCTTAATTTTGTTATGCACAGTGCACACATCATATGTTGGTTCATACTGTTCCATGCCAATATGATTGTACTAAGAAATAGTGTAGTGAGAGTGAGACCTTCAACTGATGCTAACTAACTTATTTCTTTTTGTATTTCAGCCAACATCAAGTTGTGGTACGCGATGTCGATGAGGAGTGGAGAAAAGACTTAAGTTGGACTAGTGACCGTCGCCTTGCAGCAGCGCATATTGTTCGATAGTGTCCCTGCCTTGACATGGCAACTTGATAATCCAGAACTTTTTAACCATGATCCTAGGACCGATATTTGAACCATGGTGAAGGGATGGTAAGTTGTAATATTTTTTAATATTCTATAATTTACATGAATTCTGAAATTTTGTTATGTGCATGTGGTTTTTGTGGTTGTTTTCCAAAATTACTTGTAGAATTCTTATCTATGAGATATGTTGTCCTATACCTGACAGTATGTGAGGGATTTCTTAACCTCCCCCTGTATCGATTTGGGCACCTGGGGCAGGGGAACATCTCCCACGTGGTGGGAGGTTTCCCATGAGCACAGGGAAATCCCCCCTAGGGGTTTATTGCCCTGGTTTTTCCAGCCCAGCAACCAAACAAGCCCTTAAGGGGGGTAGGGGGGCGGGGGGTCAAATTCTCTTCTAATAAAAAATGCCCTTAAGGGGGGAGGGGGGGTTCAAATTCTCTTCTAATAAAGCAACTTAATAAAATTAAAAGAGGTTCAAATTCTTCTAAGCAACTTAATAAAGAGGTTCAAAAAAATTTGGTAGGTCTTCTTTTCTGTTTTGATAGAAAAACTACAGAATTTTGCTGTTTGGTGAAACAATAAAAAGTGGAATTTTTGTTTTCTTTTTGTTTTGGTAGTCTACACAATCCAGTGAATGAGACTGAAGAACCATGTTTACATATTTTGCTGTACCGTGTCTTGTGTATCAATAAATACTTTCGTAGATATTATGTGTTGAACTATATTCCTGTGCAATCTTCATCAGGTAAACCATGGGTCTATGTTGGAGGGAAAGTTTTAAAAAGGAGTGCCTGCTAGATTTTCGTGACATGCCATTTGATATCCATTGTTCGAAAAGGAAGTTTTGTTGAACGTTGATGATAACCGGAAACTGAAGTATGTTACCTTCTCCTTGGTGCTGCAGAAACAAAGGAAATGTGGCAGGGAGGATTTCTAAAGGAAATGGCCATGCTTTAACTATGGAAAGAGAAGGTAATTACTTTCTGTTCTCGGGGGCAGCTTCGAACTGTAGATTATTTTTTCAGTGATGTTGTGCAAAAAGAAAAACATCTATCCCGAGCTGGCTTCATATCTCTTCTGAAAACTGGTGTTGAATCATCTTCAAGATTTGGGGAACATGGAGACCTTGTGATTCTGTTTTTCGGATTGTTTTGATTCATTTCAATTATCATCATGTTTCCAGAAATTACCAGTTTCGCACTGCCATACCGCTGCAATTGAACCTCTTTGTGGTTGCCAGTTTCCTTTGGGGTCTTTTGCTAGCATTTCCTACTTCCGAGTGCAAGCCGATGCTGCCGTGTTTTAACATCATATGCAGACACTGTTGTTTTTTGCAAAATGTCTTGAAAATTGAGGAGGTATACCTTGACAATTATGCGCATAGATTTTCATCAACTATACAATATACGAGCAATCAGTGTCTATTGATACGAAAAGGAAAATGGACTTCCGGATCCCTGAACTTCTAGATGTATCGACATGGTGTTTTGCTTCTAGTTTGGACTGTTGCTATCTGTTGGGAACTTGGGATTCTATGCAGCTCCAGTTGTGCTAGTGTCATGCTCGCTTCGTAAAATCCCTGAACCATTCAACCATATAAGACCCAGAAAAAAAAATGTCCGTTCGTTTTATATTCTTATTCCTTGAGATGTATCACTTCACACATGTACTATTGTTTACTGAAAATCTCCCCTGAGATACGTCCAGAATGCATATTCTGAACTTTTTAGGATTTTTGAATAATTATCCATGTTAGTGTCAACCTGCTGCTGAGATTAAAATTGATTCAGTGCCCACATGAAACTGTGTCTCGAGTGTATAGGTCGATCAGTCACCGCCACGTGATTTTTGTGAGCTGAGGATTCACTTGGATGTATCTTGACAAAACAAAATATAATGTCTTGTCTAAGTCTAACTGAAAGTAGCAGAAAAAACGTCGATCAGTCAGAGGATACAGCTATGCTGTCAAAACATTTTTTTCAGGGGGTGATAAAATTAGGCCAAAGATTATTTACTTCAAATATGGCACTAGAAACCTAATCTGCACTTCAAATATGGCAAAGGTATATCCTACTGCTATTTTTATAAATGGCTGTTAGGAGATGGTTCCCCCATTAGTTTTTGGCATGATGCGTGGCTTCAGAAATGCTCCCTTAAAACTACTTTCTGGGAATTATTTGATATTTGCAATCAGCCGAACATTCAGTTGCACAAGTCTCAGATGGGATGTCCTTGAAACTCACCTTCCGTGGATGTGTTTGTCCTAGACTAATATAATACGCCTTTTGGAAAAGCTTTTGACTTTGGTCAGAAATGCTCATTTTACTTCTGAACCAGATAAGCCCAGACTTGTTTATTTTGTGCACCGAGGAAATCAATTTCAACACTTGTTATTTAACTGTGCCGTTGCTACACAGGCTTGGAATTTCATTTTGGAGGGTTTTTTATATTGATTGTTCTTGTTCAGTTAAGGATATTGTTCATTGGTGGGCTTCTTATAAACTTTTTCACGCTGTTGGAAACACTATGTGCTGAGACTCTGGAGTATTTTGACCTTACGTGATGAAACTATGTTTCCAGGGATGCAGATGGAAAAGCACGAAGCCTCGCTTCAGGACAAAGCGGCATGGGGAGCTGCGACACATCTCTTGGGGCTGATCCTTCCGGTTGAGGCCTCGAATGCTGAACGGCGTGGTTCCCAAAGATTGAAGCAAACATGGATGAAATTCACTGTGGCGTCCTGTAGGTTGTCTGGTCGTTTAAGCTTTCCTTGTGCTTCCACTGAGCTGTAGAACTGGGTAATCATGTTGGCTTTACCCTGAGAACCTGAATGTTTATGAACCTTTGTTCCATTGCATCATTGGCTGCAATGGAACAAGGAGTTCTGCTCCTATCTTCCTAAAAAGGGGATAGGAAGATCAGCCGGACAAGATCTCGTGACATTGGACAGCTGATGGCTCTTACATGGCGGCATCTGCGTACAAGATTCAGTTCATGGGAAGTACATCCTCAAACCTGAAGGAGCTCATCTGGAAAACTCCAGTACTGGCAAAGCAGAAGCTCTCGGCTTGGCTGTGTATTCAAGATCGCTGTCTAACAGCGGATAAGCTCGCCAAGAGGGGCTGGCAGCATGACCCCATCTGCTCACTCTGGAAGTGTCAGCCGAAGACTGCTGCACATCTTCGCTCACTGCTCCTTCTCGGCTGAGGTGTGGAGATTAGCCTTTGCTACTTTCAACTTCCCCCTGAACCTGATCCCCAGCGTGATGATGCCGTCTTTCAGGAAGTGGTGGGAGCAAGGTTATGCTGTCTTGGCCTCAAACGAGTCTGAACAGAAATGCTCTGCTCCGATTACCCTGGTTTGTTGGTTCATTTGGACTGCGCGGATCTTTGATGGGGTGGCCTGCACTGCTGCTCGGGTAATGTGCAAGATTGAGGAAGAACTGTCGGAATGGGGAAGCGCCCGGATCAGGGGTATGCTATTACTGTCGCCTATTCATCCATGATGCACACAATATGGTCTGATTGCCTAAGAAGATGCCGTTGAAAGGAGCTACTCAGAGTTAGGTGGAAACCTCTGTGAGCTCCTACTCAATGCTACTAGTGTTTACTGGATAGCCTTTGGCCTAGGTTTTTCCCCATGTTGAGCTATGTCATGTATCTCTGTAACATTTCTTCTCCCTTAATATAATGAAAGCAGCGCTGCTGCTCTTCGTAAAAAAAAATTGGGATGTTTTCTTGACTGAATTCAGTGGATCATGATGTTTCAAGTTGCATATCCTTTTATTAGATAATGGAATGATAAATGCGATGGAGATGACCAGTTTGTATGATGGAAAAGGACACTTTATGAATCTGCAGATGGCATGGCATCTTTGACACATGAAATTGGTGTTGCATTTTCTCTGTCTTCTTAATTCCAAGGATGTGGAAGCCCAAGGCCAGTCAGAAGTTCACTGTTGTTCAGACTATTTTCAGGCTGTGGGCAGTTTGCTATTTTTAAATATCTTGGTCCATGCTGTAATGATTCCCAATAGGCACCAGTGATGAATTTCTGTGGAGAACTAATGATTCATGAAGGAGGTAAGTTAATCTTGGAACTTTCACCTGTTTTCCCCTCTCCATATTTTTGTCTGTATTACCTTACTACAAGTAGTACTTACACAAACCACTGTAACTGATGATGAATTTCTTTTTCATTCCTTTGTTACCAAGTATGTACTGGACTGCATGTTACAAAAAATATTCTTTTAACCATCCTAACACAAAATATTCTTTCGCTTGAAAAATAATGTTTCTGCATATACATGATTTTATTCTCTGCACATTTTCTGCTGCTGTATTTGATTTTGGCCATATCCGAAACCATGGAGCTGACTTTGTACGTTGACCCCCTAACAGATACCATGAGCTCCTTCCAGTTGCTTCTTTTTTTGGCTGTCCAAATTAGAACCACTTGTTGAGCCATCCTCGCTTGGAAGTTGTTGATAGTGAGGTGCAACTTCTGTACCTGTAGCTCTTCCATCGGCTGAAGAACTCTCACTTCACACATTTAGAAGCAAAGTGTTAGGTTCTCACATATCTGCACATGGACCTATAAGTATAATGACTCGAACGAACTTACTTCAGTGAGTAGACGATTAATCCAATGGCCACAACTGTGAATGCTACGTAGTACAGCCAGTTTATCTGTTGCAACTAAATCTTGTGAGCATATATATGCAATGCACTGTATTTATGATCTCCTGCAAAGGATCGGTCAGAAATCGTAACCTGTTGTTGATAGAACAGTAGTCGAATGGCGACTGCCCACATGTCAGATGTTAAGAGTGAGAGATTAAACAATGTTGATCCACTCATCTGCAAAAGAGCTATGACAATCAGGAAGGGCTAAACTATTATTGGACTGTACAATAAGAAAAGAAATGGCCTTCTGGCTTTAGATTCTTATACTTAGTTTATTCAAATACTTCATAACTTGATCAACCTTTTCTTTGTTACATACTTGTGTAGCTTATTTTCTGCCTAACATGTTGCAGGAAACTTAACCTTGAGGACAAAAGGAGTAATGGTGTAGAACACTAGTAATGCAACGGCAAATCCCGCGAACAAACTTATCTGAAAATAAAAATGGAAAAAACAATACAAAGCAGCTGTGAGTTTCCTGTCAAGACAATTGAATAATGTGTATTGCAGATAAATGAGTCAAACCATAACTATACTTTGGTACCATTGTTGGAGACCAGGCAACTGCTTCTAGGCTCTTCCTTTCGAATATGAATCTGATGTTTTGTCAGGTTAAGTTGTCACATGAACAGAAGAGTATGGTCAAGACATTTCTGTTCCAGAAAAAACATAGTGATATTTTAACTACGTGATTACAGAGCAAATTTATAGATGGCAATATCGACAGATTATGAAAGTTTTTTCTCTGCTGATCTGCTATTAATAGTGAATTGCGGAGAGGATACATCTGAATTGCACTGACAAACAGGCCAAATAGTCCAAGCATCGCGATAAGCTCTACCCGATCGTTCTTCTTGACACAGTATTCCTACATATTCAAGGGAAGTGTTAAACTTATGACAATTTTGAGAAAATATTGCTGGATAGTAGGAAGAGACATATAATGGCATCACAAACCTCTCCAACATTGCTAAATGCAAAACAAACTGTCCCGGCAATAACAAGGGCATCCCCTAGAAGTGGCATTTGACCCCCATCTGCAGAAAATGAAGGGTTTTGTAAGCTGCTAGCACTTACCCAAGCTATAGAAATTGTGAGACGATTCCAGCTTGTATGGGTCTTAAAGTTTGGTTTTCATTTGAGCACGTCATACACCTGTTCTTATTGCCAGTTTGCTATGTTATTCAGCTGTAAATTTTTGAACAAGATTCAACAGTGAATATGATCTCCTGGACTACTGTACGATCGCGATTTCTTCTAAAGAAAGAGGATAAGCATGATACATACTATCAAGAACTTCATCCTGTGTGTATCTTACTAGGTTTATCACTGAGATTTTTAGTACTAACCGGCATTCTAATTAAACTTGTTGGTGTTGGAACTCATATATACCTTGCTCATCTGTAGATTTTGCATCTGAAAGGAGCACAAGGCCTAGCCCTGCCACGCAGGTCCCCGCCCCCACAAATTGCCAGAAGGAGTATCTTGTGCCCAGTGCGTACCAGGTGAGTATGATGACCCATACAACGGTCCAGCAGTCCAACAACGTTACGCTGGTGATGGACGAGTACTGGTATGCCTTGACAACTGAAACACAAGTTTCAGAATCATTACATGTTTATTGCATTTGGTATCTGACTGAAATGTGTATTGCCTGCTTGTGCTCATGGCTCACCCAGATAGTTCCCCTGGACATCGACGAAGGCCAGCGCCAAGTACCAGTACCAAGGTATCTGCAAGACAGGAGTGGCGTAGAGAGTGAGGAGGCGTGTGAAACTAAAACCACACAAGGTAAGTTTCATGCTCACCCGTGGCTTCTGCCGTCGGTGCAAGAGGATCGGCACATAAATCAGAGTCAACAGGAGGTAGGCGAAGAAGGATTGTGTGAGAGGTGTGTTAACTCCTGCATAATATACATGCGATGGGTGATTCGTAATTGAGTGTTCTACAAAGATTCACAGGTACTGGGGGAAATGATAATTTGGATGGTTAGGCTACAGAGACAGTGAGAAGGGCGGGTACCGAGATTGGCGAGGAAGGAGGAGGCGAAGCTGGCGGCGGCCATGGAGAAGGCCACGAGCTGGCCGAGGAAGAGAACCAGCGCCAGGCCCCATGCGTCCTTGGCCTTGGTCTCCATGGGTCTCTCCCTGTCTGACCACCAAGCCTCGGTCAGATTCGCGGAGATGCAGGGGAGAGATAATATACGGTTCGAGCCGGCCGGAGCAGAGGAGGAGACTGGACGGGTAGCTGGGCCTCGTGCAAGGCTCGCTGGGCTCGTGCAGTAAACTATGGTTAGCTGAGTGTGGCATGCCCATTTTTCAATCAACAAAAAAAGGAAAGCTGAGAGCAGCTTGTGACCGCTACATTGATTATGTTTTCTTCTTCCTGCTATGCCACGCGCCTGGATATGATAATTGATTATGTGATCGGATCTGCCTCTTGCAAATAGTAGTACTACCCCGTTATTAATTTATTAGTATTGCCTGTAATTGTGGGTCCCGCAACTGTTTTGGTTTTTGATTCGCTCTTGCATCTGCCAGAGGAGGCCTAACCGACAAATCATGGCAGCCCATGTCCCATCTCACCTCTGCTCCGTGCAGTTGGTGATGGCTACGCCCGCGGAAATGGACATGGCGACTTGTGGGGACTGGACCGGATGCAGTCGGTTGTTGTGATGTGCGGTGTGGATTTACGGCCTGTTTGGATAGAGGCCTGACTAGCCGTGCTGCTGGCGTGGCACGGTTATATACCGGGTACGGAACTTTCGGTTGCGTACGGGCACTTGCGTGAAATGGGTATCTCGGCCCTGATCATGTTCAGAAACAAAATTCCTACGGACGCTCAACACGACACGTTTTGTTCTGTGCACCGCTTGCCAATTTTGATGCTTGGGGCCGGCGGGCTCATCACATGGTACCATGGCATTATCGATGAGAGAGATTCTCTTTTCTCAAGTCATGATGCCCTTGGAAGTCTGATTTATTAAAAAGGATAGATGAAAATTGCCCGGTTAATTGACAAAAACTTGGACGAAAAATGTTACAACACATTCATAAAAAAGGGCACCTCGGTTGATCTGGCTACCCCCAAGACCCACACATACCATCAAGAAGAAATCTGTCAAGGTCGCCTCAATGTCGTCGTCACTGTTTCTCCCCGAGCAAGTGACTCCAACTCCACCGCAAATGAGACACCGAGATACCGGAGAACAAGCGACACATGGATGAGAGATATTGAGACATCGTGGCAGATAGGGTCCTTCGAATTATTGTTTTAGCAACGCCCAAATCGTTGTCCTCGGTTCATTATGCCATTGAAAATAAGGCCAGTTGGTTGTAGCCCATTGGTCCATATGCACATGTGCCACGCAGGAACAAGCCGTATGCATTGTGGCATACGATAGCCAATTGGACCGTGTGCCACAGAGGCCTGCTCCGGTGCTCCTCCCTAACCTAATTTCGGAGGGGTATTTTTGTCCCCGTGAATTTGTTTTTTTCCTGGCCCGTCGCAACCCAGATTTAAGCCCTGTCTAGCCCTGTATAACCCAGACCGTATACATACAGTACCCTGGTCCGAAAAAAAACATCACACGACCCCACGTCCACGTAAGACCTGCCGAATCCAATCATTCACGCGAGCAGCTCCATCAATCTCGCGAGCATTGACGCAACTCCATAAGTCACGTAGTAGATCTCCACCAGCGGCTATCTCATCGCCGGCGATCTCGTCGGACAGCGGGCGCGACAACATCGTGAATCTCCAACGATCGCGCACAGGTACCGCATCCCGCGTCCCCCCTCTAGTCTTGCTCGCGGCAACATCGAACGAACTGCCGCCGCGCCAGTGGCAGTGGTTAACCTAGCGGAGCGGGTAACCTAGCTACCCGACGGCGCATGCGATCGTGGATCTTGTTCCGGTAGTGCTGCTCCTCGTGATCTGGGTTCACGTAGCGTCGGTTGCCGTCGGCTGTGCGCACCACCAGTATCGTTATTTGATGTGGCGGCTAACCTAGGTATCCGGCGGCAGAGGTAATCACAGATCTAGCTAGGTTTTGAGATCGTGCAGTTCCTCGCAATTGAAAGTGATCACGACGGGTGCCGTGGCCATCTTCCTTACTAAGTTTGGCAGATCTGAATGGCCTCGGTTGCGGTTGTTTACATAACATCCGTGATCGTGTGCTATGTGTTTTATATTTCATCATTGTTAATGTTTGCACATGTGATGATACATATTATTGGTTGTAGGAAATGGCGGACGAGGAGTTAACTGATATCATGGTAGACATGGAGTTTGGAGAACTGATGAAAGACCGGATAGAAGATTGGTCAGATGATGAAAATTCAGATCGTGAAGATCGGTCAGACAATGGGAACGAATGGGACGATCTTAATGTGAGTGGCATTGTCATGTTGTAATTTTTTGGTGGCATCCGACAACATTAAATCTTTGTGTTGAAAATTTATAGATCGATGAGCTTGATGATGATCAGGAAAACAACTCGGAGCTCTCGAATGAAGATTACATTAGTCGGGTACGTAAGTGAAAAAATTTGTTGGCATGCAAATTGAATTTCTTCTGGAATATTATATGATAAGTAATTATGTATTTGTGTTGTATTTTTCAGTTCATTTCCGAATGTCATAATGCGTACGACTATTACGGTGAATCCGACGCGGAGACAGGCCTTAACGACGAATTATTAGATGCACCTGGTTCTGGGGAGTCCGAGTCGTCGGTCATCATAGGTATGTGTGTAATCAATGTTCTATGGAAGTAAGTAATGGTAACCATAGAAATCTGTTTTCATGGCTGTGGTTTGATTATGTATGTGACACAAGATGATGGGGCAAAGAATGTCCAAGATACTGTGTCACACCCTCGATGCGACTATAGCTCCCACGTGTCGAGGCACGACTTAGAGACATAATCACATTGAAGGCATATGTCGCAAGTTAGGCAATCTTCACAACATCCCATGTAATATGAATAATAAAGGGGAGAACATAGTTGGCTTACACTCGCCACGTCAATCAAGAACGTAAATAACATTACATCATCCAAAACACTCATGGCCCGACTACGGCGCCAAAATAGAAGAGAACCCAACATGCGACACGGTCCCAATCAAACCCCAACTAGGCACCACTACTGATCGTCAGGAAAAGACACGTAGTATCGCTGAGAGTCCTCATCGAACTCCCACTTGAGCTCGTACTCGTCACCTGGAGCGGAATCACCTGGACATGCATCTGGAGTTATAGTATCTGTGAGCCACGGGGACTCAGCAATCTCGCACCCTCGCGATCAAGACTATTTAAGCTTATAGGAATGGTAAGGCAAAAATATGTGGAGCTGCAGCAAGCGACTAGCATATATGGTGGCTATCTTATTCGCAAAAGAGAGCGAGAAGAGGAGGCAAAGCGCGAGCGAGAATCTAGAGGAACAACCTGCGCAAACATAACTCCAACACCGTGTCCACTTCCCGGACCTCGCCGAGAAGAGGCCATCACGGTAACACACTCAGTTGATTCATTTTAATTAATTAAGGTTCAAGTTATCTACAACCGGATATTAACAAATTCCCATCTGCCCATAACCGCGGGCACGACTTTCGAAAGTTCAATCCCTGCAGGGGAGTCCCAACTTAGCCCATGACAAGCTCTCACGGTCAACGAAGGAATAGACCTCCTCCCAAGACGTTCCGATCAGACTCGGTATCTCGGTAATTCAAGACACTTCGACAGGTTAAAACAAGACCAGCAACACCGCCCGAATGTGCCAACAAATCCCGATAGGAGCTGCACATATCTCTTTCTCAGGGCACACTCAGATGAGCCAAATGTCGGGTAAGCCAGCCCAGAGTTGCCCCTGGTAGCCTCGGACATCGCTCGGTGGGACCAACACTCAGAGGAGCACTGGCCCGGGGGGGTTAAAATAAGATGACCCTTGAGTCTGCAGAACCCAAGGGAAAGAAAAGGGACTAGGTGGCGAATGGTAAAACCAATGTTGGGCATTGCTGGAAAAGCTTTAATCAAGGCGAAATATCAAGGGGTTCCCATAATAACCCAACCGCGTAAGGAACGCAAAATCCGGAAACATAACACCGATATGACGGAAACTAGGGCGGCAAGAGTGGAACAAAACACTAGGCGAGAGGCCGAGCCTTCCACCCTTTACCAAGTATATAGATGCATTAAGATAACATAGCAATATAATGATATCCCAACAAGTAAATAAAAGGTGTTCCAACAAGGAACGGCCTCCAATCTTCACCTGCAACTAGCAACGCTATAAGAGGGGCTAAGCAAAGCGGTAACATAGCCAATCAACGGTTTGCTAGGACAAGGTGGGTTAGAGGTTTGACATGGAAATTGGGAGGCTGACAAGCAAATGGTAGGCATCATAGCAATGGCATAGCAAAGAGCGAGCAAACTAGCATAGCAAAGATAGTAGTGATTTCGAGGGTATGATCATCTTGCCTGCACAGTTGTCAGAGTTGACTGGATCCTCAAAAGCACACTCAACGGGCTCCTCGGTAGAGAACTCGTCTCCCGGCTCTACTCAAACAAGACAAACAAGCAACAAGGATAAAATCAACCACGTGCAAACTCAATCAACACAATGCAAAGATGGTATGCTATGCGGGATGCGATGCAGGATGCAAAATGCAAGATATGACAGGAAATGCATGAACCTGGCCTCAACTTGGAATTCCAAGGGTACCACTGGAAAGATGAGATGAAATCGCTTGAAAACGATATAAAGAACGCCGGAATCGGAGTTACGGTTTGGAAATGGCAAGCGTTTTAAGAATGACACCGGTCTGCAAATTACAGCAAGTATGCATCTAAATGCAATGAAATGAACATGCTACAGCCACCAAACATGACAACAAAATAATGGCAGGGACGCACACAAGATGCTTAACAAAAGACTAGCACTGAGCCACGGCCAATTCATCCAATATGAGGTTCAAACAAGCATGACAAAAACGCAAATGCAAAACAGATTTCAGACTTAGTGAAATTAACACTTGTCTGAAATTTCAGATCACGAAGCCCTCTTCGGAGCAGCAAAATAACATGATACATGACCTGATTAAGACAAGTAAGAACATGGCATCGAGCTACTCAACAA